AGGCCTTGGATGTAACTATTGGTTTCCTGCTATGCTTGTGCGTTGTGATACCCCCTTATTTTCTTTATTAAACCCCATCTAGATCTCTTTGGTACCACTGTCAATACTAGAGATACAATCGGGCGAACTACTGAGCGTCGCTATGCCAATCTGAGATTTTTTTCACACACGAGAAGCGAAAGTGCGCAGGGGTTTGAGTGGTTTACTTTGATTTCTTTCTTGGGCTCACATGAGATCAACAGGCAGGTAATGGGCCATGGGACATCACTCTTCAACCTTACAAATCTAACCAGCTTCGAGTCGTGTATCCCACGTTCATCCGATCAAACCAGCATTCCCCCTTCATGCGACAGGTCCACCAGCCTCAGGGAGACCGCACTACAAAAACAGAAACTATATCAGCAAACTATTCTCCGCATCCAACGAAAGGGATTAGTGGGGGAAACTCACGTAGTAAACAACCAAACTACCGCCATCAAAAATCGTCTCCAACGAGACCGTCTCACCCTCCTTGGGCTCAACAGTCACATCGCTCCTCGTGTTCCACGCAATCTGCGCCACGGACGCCGGCTGCCCGACACCGGGCGTGACGGTCGCGTTAGCCCACGCGCCCGGGTCGCCCGCCGTCGCGGCGGCGAAGACCTCGACGCCAACCTGTTGGGGCGGGTACGGGCTACCGTAGCCGACGGCGCCGGCGACTTTAATGACGAGGGAGCCGGAGAAGGGAGAGGCGATGGAGAAGTCTGTGATGTTGGCGGAGGGGGAGGAGCTGCTTTGGGCGCCGTCGAGGACGACTTCCAGGGGGGTTGTGGCGTCGCAGCCTGTGGTTGGGTGGGTTAGTGAGTGGTGTGGTGGGATGGGATGGGGGTTGAGGTCATCCCAACTCTCACCCGCAGCCTCGTCCTAGAGGTTGGAGTTCGGATGAAAGTATGGGGGGGGGGGGTGCTACTTACGAGAGTAGTCTGCGCGGACGCCCCATGAGCCCTGCGCCACGGCAGCGTGGGCACCGCCGGCGGCGAGAAGAGAGGTCAGAAGAATAGAGGCGTACATGTTGTTATGAGAATCGTGGATATGTATGTCCGTTGGTAGTCAGGTTTTCCTCAAATCCACTTGGATGCAACAGACGGGATCAATCTTCTTTTGTACCCGTCCATTCGGGAGTTCATCCCACCGTCTCGGTACCTTCGGGGGGTGACGATCATGGGTTTATAAAAAGACCGAAAGCCCTACGATGCTCTGCCAAGCAAACCAAATCTAAAGAGGTTTTATTAAGTATGAACTCTATATGCAGGGCGCTGTGGACGGTTCAGTGGGACCGAGGAATTGGTCATCCGTCGTTTGGCGTTGCCCCCCCCTCGTATGCAATTTATATTAAGTTGGTCTGCTCACGGCAAACGAGTCAGTGGGTATAAGTGTTGGTCATACCCGTCCAAAAGGGGAGGAAAGGAGTAAAGTATCGCTCCTTTTTCTACTATTATTCAAAAGGAGAAATAAGTTCGCGACGTGAGTACTGAAGTCGAGTTGTCAACACTTTTTTAGTGTGTGTTTTGTCAAATTTGGTTGTTTCTGTTGGTGGCGGACACGGGGGAAGTGGTGTTCGACTGCCCACTCTTTGATTCTACGAAAGTTATAATTCCCTTATGTCTAATTTTGAAACGTGTCTCTTGAGAGCAAATAATTCATCTGAATGAATGCGTTGTAAACTGGATTGAAATTTGTCTAGCTAGGCAATTGTCTGGGTTAACCTTTGAATCCTTAGGTTCTCATGGACCAAAAGTCTGTGTAGCACATTTACATGCAGTAGAAGAAATTTTTTTTTTTTCTTCTTCTTTTTTTCTTCTTAAATTTGCAGCGCCGTAGGGATACGTGTGCGAAAAAAAAAAAGAAAAAAAAAAGGCGAGGAATTCTCAACAATTTGACCTTGTATGCCTCTCTCTCAGACCTTCATAGCCGGCCCGGCTATTCCCAAGTATCGTTCGTGTCTTATGATCACCGAAAGTCAGAAATCAAGATTTGATCTGAGCCTTCAAGCCGGGGTTGGCGGGCTGCGAGGTAGTCCTGTTGAAGTTAACGGCCCATAACGACGGTTGATATCTACTTTTCCTATCAAGGAACCCGTCGAATCTAACAGCGCTGGCAAAACGGAGCTTTTCAATACTCAGTCTTCGTTATTAGATGGGTAGACTAGAACGCGTCGCGTAGAAAGGTTTGCTAGGCTCTTCGAAGGTGCTGTTACAAGCACAGTAGCCTTTCATGATAGAGATGCTGAAGCCGAAGGTAAGATGCCTCAGGACCATGCCTATCGGGCCTGGTGTATTTGGTAACTAATTGCCTGATAGGAAAGCGTAGCTTTGAGTTGAGGTGATCGTTGCACTCCGTATGTTCGGCCTATACTTTAGGCTAAGTGAAGCTTGCACGGGCACGGCGGCGGTGATTTGTTATCACGGCCTCGGCCGGCGAAGGTCTGGTCAATAAGTGTCACTGTTGTTGACATCGGCTATGTAATCAAACGAAATACCGGACTGGCTCAATGTAGAATAGTTGCTGGTGGTAATGGAAATCATATACAATCTGCACGTTATATATAGAGCCTAGTGCCTCATTCAAATTCCAAAACATCTACATCACCAACAACACCTTCATACACGCCTCCTACATCACCGGGTTTTCATCATGAAGCAGTTCACCATTGTTGCTCTGAGCCTCCTCCCCACGGCGTTTGCCCTGCCCGCTCAGCAAGATGCTCTGCATCCAGGTAAAAATTCTTGACCCGGCCTGGCTCATCTGTAATGGCATTCACTAAGACGGAGAATCACTAGGTCTCGTCCCACGGATCGCTATCTGCAAGAATTTCTACCTCTCCAAGAAAGATGGGTCTGGCAACGGCCCATGGACTTGCTGTTGCGCCAACACCCAGTGTACGGTCAGCTGGGGTGTCACTTCAACCGCCAAATTGAATGCCAATCTCGGTGGTGACTGGTCGCCGGTTGATGACAAGTATCACATGTATGTCGCGGCTGGAAGTCGCTGCGATCACTAGATATCAGTTACATCTTCAGAATATGGCATGAGATGCCTCTGGTGTCAGAGCCCTTCTGGATAGAGATTATGTGGGGGTAATAGGGGTCTTAGCAACAAAGGAGCAGCTCAGATATACATAGAGCGCAGGGTGTACACGTCTAGGGAGGGGCAGATTTCAGTTATTCATCCTTTTGACCCTAACAGCAGGTGACCTCTGTGAGCTTCTTCCCTATGCCATACACCTATTTACATCTGGTTCTAGTCTATTCCACCTTAATAATTGCCCTTTAAAACATTTGATGATGATAAGTATCAAGAATCGACACCTGAAGAAGAGAAAAAGTAAACCTCTTTCCCTCTCAAAATGCGAAAGCAGCCTTCTTTCTTGTGTAATCCTACGTTCCCATTGCAGAGCTTATACGCGGTTCCTGGCGGCTTGGAAGGAATCTGACTCACCGCAATCCCACGGTCTCCCGCGCACATGTCTCATGCCGTCCAGATTTGCGAGGCCTTGGTGCCTCTTGAGTTCAGGGCTGAGGCGCTGGCTCTCAGGGGTAAGAATCACGGGGAGGGGGTTTGGAGGGGTTTGGAGAGTCGGGTAAAGAGCTCGGCGAGTGAACATGTTGCTTTAGGACTTTTTCTGCGTCTAGTTCCTAGTTTCCTTGGATTCTCCAGAGAAGTTGTGGTTGTGCGTTTGTACCCGCGAAGTTGCCCCTCCCAGGATGTCTTCTACAACTGAAATGGCCCTACATCTTTGCACATAGCATAGGCGGACGACGTAATGTCGATGAAGGAGGCAAACCAGAATGCACTTTAACCATCATCGAGAACTCGAGTGGAATTTTAGAATCCGGCAAACTCCTGGTGTCCAATTTCATCGCTTCCCAACATCATCCTCCTTTCCCCCATCTGCGATCGAATCCCGGCCAGTATCCTGCCTCTGGTGATGATCACACTCCCGCCTTTCAGCATTCACTTCCCAACTCAAAGCACTAAACTTCCATTTGCCCCAACCGATTCGTAGGTCAAAACTACTATGGAAGCCTCGAACCTGTCGCTCTGGTTGTTCGTCTTGAGGGTTCTTGACAATCTCCCAATCCTCCTCGCTCCCCTTCTCGTCGCATCGACCTGGTGCTGAAGTATCGGAGCTGGATCTCTCCTTGACGGACAACTTTTTCTCTAGTTTGAACAGTCAGTCGGTACGCTTCTCTCGAGAAGATATGTAAATAGTATAGATGAGAAGACATGCCTGGCGAGATGCGATACGTGCCTCCCTGCTGTGCCATTTTGATGGTTCTCGTCTTCGCCTTTTGGAGAGAATTGAAGATAGGGGATGACGAACGTCAGCATGGACAAGCCTCAGCCCCTCTTCTATGGTCTTGGAACTTCGGTGGCGGAGCACCTCAGCTCAGCCTAGACTTTGCTAGCTGATCGATCGACAACCAAAGACTCTTTGATTGGTTGATGATCATTCGTCAATGAGCCTATTCGGCGTCTCGTCAACTCGTATTCTACATCCTGGTCGGTATCGCTTGGGTGAAGACACACCTATTGCTGATGTTTTATTGACTAATTCTAGCTGTGCATGTGGTATCTCTACTGGATTTCTCAGTTACGAAAGAAGATTGAGGCAAATCCCTCTTCATCTAACGAAGCTTCCAGACAGCCGATCTGGGTATCCTAAGCAGAAGTTGCGAATTCGGAAACAACTCTTCTGCTGTCCTCTGAATCTAGATAATACGTCCTCATGACGTGTTTGAGGCTGTACTCTCTCGAGAGTTCCCTCAGCCCGCCTAGATAGCCCTTCATTGCAGCCCTGTATCATGAAATCGTATGGCAATGTAACAAGAGCAGCTTTCTGTTTAATAACGTCATGAATCCCCGGAGCTGTCGTAGGTAGGTGTGTATGCATGGGAAGTGTCGCCGACGTGGAAGTCTCGCCTCATATTGAATGATGATCCTCAAACCCGAAATGGGTTTCATCTATCCCAACCTTTCTGGCTCATTATTCCATCACTACTTTTTGAGCTTCCTGACACAGGGTCCTTCTGTATCACGACATTGTTTTTGGGCGTCTTTGGCGGGTCCGTCTCCATCGATCTCGCATCGCTGAGGTTGTTGAGGTCGATGTCATTGAAGTCTCCGACGAGATGCGCTATCGAAGACTCCTCGTAGGATACCAGTCGCGGTCGGTCATTGGGGTCCGCTGCCGATCGTGAGGCTTGGCTGGCAGAGTGTGAACCCTTGGCTGATCTAGACATCCTAGCTGATCTCGAAGACAGGTGTGTTACTTCGAGGATCTTGGGGAATAATTTTCTCCAGACTTGACGTGTGCTCGGGAGGCAAGACACGAAGATGCCAACACAAAGCTCAATGTTGGACCAGAGAGAGCTCTGGAACGAGTCGGCTACGATTGATGTCAGTGCCGTGCATATCTGGTGGCAAGGCCCTTGTTTCGGACTTACCTGTGACGTTGTATGATGTCGCAAAGATGAGAAGAGCCTTGATTCGATAGGCACTAACGGCGGTGAGACTTTGTACCATCAGTCAGTAACATTATCATATAGCTGTTTCGTCGTACTCACAACACTCCTACGCCGAACATCAGCATCACGCCCAGCTTCTTCTTACGTTGCATCCTCAGCGAATAGACTTGAGTTGCAGGAAGTACGAGCATCCAGGCATCCAGAGCCACGTTCAATACGCCATGGCACATGGCGAAGGCGTTCAAGTTGAAGCATTTGCCCTCCATATCTCTCTTCCATCCGTGCCAGAAAAAGTGCAAGGGCTGACAAGAGCCAAAGGTGCCGGCGATGAAAGCGATCCAAAGAAGAAGGTTAAACAGCTGAGTACACCAAAGTACTCGGCGAAAGGTTTCGTCGGGGAAAATTCGAAGGTACAGAAATATGATCGAGGCCTTGATGAAGGCTAGGCAGGTCATGTATAGCATGCCGAATATTATGAATAACTAATCACAGTCAGTGCCTACCCATGATAAATTCAAACAGAGATGCATTGATCATAATGCCTTACCAAAAGAAAATCAGTAATTTGGTCTTCTGATAATACCCAGATGTCTCTCCCTGCACCAGTTTGTTCAGCTATACGAAGGCGTTAGTAGAATTACATCTTAGTCGCAATCCGAGCCTTACCTAGATATGCTGCTGGCAGGAAAGCTGCCAGTACGGCCTTTGAAATTGTCAGAAACATTCGTCAAGAGTAAGAGGGAAGGTGGATTTCTGAGTAGCTTACATAGGCGATGACGATGGTTGTGTCGTCCCACCCCCAAGGCGATAGCTTTAGACACTTGTTCACTATTCGCACAATGATGAAAAAGGTCGGTAGGGCAAATAGAACCGCCCTGAACCACGCCATGACGGTATCCTGCTGGGAAACCGGCACACCGCAGGCAGCCAATGAAGAATTTCGCGCCGCTGTAGACATTCGATGAGCATTGATGTCTTCTTCACCAGGGGAACCTCGCTTTGTGACCTACCGAGCATCTCCATGACAGTGCAGTTTGCCTCGACGCATACCTGTACATATCCCGCCAAAACGTTGTCGTTACACATGCATTTTTGGTCCGTCAAGGCGCAGGACGAATGGCCGATCTCTTGGAAGATGCATTTGATCTACATTCGTCAGCAAATTCCCTGGCTAAGAAGGGTTGGAGCGAAATATGCCTACAGCGCAGCTGGGGATGCCCTGATACGAGATATCTGACGCGGCGACGAAACTTCCAAGGCCCAGGAAGCAAGCGAGCAGGAAGAACAGACGGATAGCAGACATCGTGAAAGGAGCGACTTCGGGAGGATGATGATGATGTCCTGCAAGCCTCTCGTACCCAAGCAGGGTCGTCCGCAGTGTGTCGTCGGAATCTGAAGCCGCAAAGGTAGCTCAGGTACTCAAAACTTTGACGAGGGGTCCAGGAAAGCGGTCTTGGCCATGTTGTTGACAAACGTGGGGATATGAGGAGAGAGAAAGATGGCATGGACGAACCATAGTGTGGACGTCTTCCACGGGAAGTTCGCCCTACGGCTGTCATTCCGCCTTTCCAGCAAAGAACTAAACTAGTTCTCAGCTAGGCAGTGCCCAAGGGCTCCCAATTTGAGCAAGTGGCTACCCTCCACTTCGGAAATCAGAGCGTTGCACTAGCTCTCTGTAGCCGGGCAGGCAACGAAAGACTTCCCGGCAGTGGCTCGAGTGGTACGCTGTACGCTGGACCTCGCGTTTTTGGGAGGTGTGTCGACAGTGTCTCAACTAGTTCACTCGGTAAATGCACGTCAGTTCATATTGGTTTGTCCCTTTCACTAGCAGATGCCAGAGAGGGCGCCACGGCTGAGACCATCGTAGGATATCACGGCCCAAGATTGGATGGTCGTGCTCAATGGATGCCGCTAGGGGAAGCCAAGGCTGCTTCCTAGGGCGGAGAGCTCGGACACTCTGGATGGGAGATCGGCGTGGCTAGCATGCAGCCAAAGGCGAGCTAGGCCTAGGCTGTGTGCAGCTTCTCAGGGGCAACTTGACGTTTGCGTCAAGCTGGGAATGTCTGCTCACTTCAGGAATGCCGTTCGCGGTCTTGGTCTAACTTGGCATGTGAATAAAGATGCATTAGGGATATCGTTTTGGTGGGATCGATGCTGTCAGACTGGCAGTACTTCGGCGGTTCATTGGATGGCTCGGACAACAACCGCAGGATTGGGCATGACTTTGGATCTCAAAATCCCACGATGTCACACGAGCTGATCCCACAATGTGATATCTTGTAGTCCGTGTACGACCATGGTCTGGTGTGAACTACGCAGAATACCGATAGAGAACTAAATGTCTTACTGCATGAGCTAAAATTCCCAGATTTCTGGGACAGTATGGTCGTCCCGTTCCACATTCCTGTACAACCTGACCAAGACCTGAGGAAACGTTGTAAAATGCAACTTATTCTGCATGTTGCCGTTACCCAGTCTTACCGGTGCCTTTCGGCAACGAGAAGACGTGCAAATAAATCGATCCAAAGTGGATGAACACATGGCGTGGCTTATCTAGACAATTAGACCAGCCATTGACTTTCCGTTTCTGGTTCAGCATCCGAAAAAAACACTTAAGCGAGGCAGCCACGCAGCTCCAGATTCCCGGGTTTTCTTGAGCAAGACAAAATCATCATCCCTCCTTAGCCGGCAAACTAGAACCCCCACAAGGCCACAGAATCGTCAAAGCAGTTTTCGCAGGCTAACACTTCGCTTCCACGCATCATTGATACTACAGCGTCCAGGCTCCTTTCCTTTGTTCCACCGACGTAACAAGCGTCAACGTCGCTTAGAAATCGTGCCCTAAAGAGGCGAATAATTCAAGCGGAAAGTCGCCTCCGAAATGCAACTCCGACCGACACTAAATTCATGACCGTTTTCTTCTGTAGTTGTGTCGACTTTCTGTATGGATTTACCACGCGAGCTGTGTAGCACCTAAGTGCATTCGGGGTAAAGGCCCGAGAAGCCAGCAACGAGGTGACTACTAACCTCGAAAGGCAAGCTTGCAGTGTCAAGAGCCTTTCACAAATCTGTGGAGCCACCCATCTATTTTTTTGATTATTATGAGAAATAAATATGACCCGAACAATGGACGCAACGCAGCCTAGTGGTATTAGCTGACTTCTCTCCTCCCGTCCACGGTCCGGCCATTGAACAGGCCTGTGTCCGACCCGAAAGTGGGTCCTTCGGGGCCGATGTCTCGAGAGACTGCCAGTCGGATGAAGCGAGCCGCCGGAAAATGGTATCTTCAACGGCTGTCATATATCAGTCTGTACCTACTGGAAGGGTATTGATTCGAGATCAAGCTGATCTAATCTTCCAGTCATGTAAGCTTAGATTTGACATCTGATCTGAATCCTCAGCGCTTCGGGACTGAGGAGATGCAAATATGAATAACCCAGATGGCGTAACAGCCTCGGTGAAATCTTGGATGTGGAATAGGTGATCAAGCAATCATCTTTCGAGTGTGGTACATACTAGCATACTTATCTTTACTCAACTTTCTTGAACCTTGCCAGAGCTGCTCTTTCGTAGCCCAGCACAAGAAAGCACTCCGACTGAAAGACGTCCACTGCTACCACCCGCCAAGCCTATTCTGTTGAACTCTCAAGATTGTCTATGATGACATCGAATGCTTCGAATTCGGGTTCGGCATGTTTCTCGGTCGATGTGGGAGCCGATATGGTGCACTTTCTGTCTGCTGTGGCCTGCAAAGCCTCACGGAGATGGGTTTTTCTCCTCGGTGGCCGCGCACTGCGAGGTGGTCACGACAACCGCCCGGCTCCCTCAACTTGCAGTAAACTGACCACCTGTTTGACCTGATGACACTGAGATCGGCGGGATTACTGGTAGAGTCGGCCGGACTGGCATAAGATGCGCCCCAATGAATCTTGAATGTCGTCGACCTGGCAACAAAGCGCTCAGCAGACCTGTTCGAAAGCTATTATATAAGGTTACGAAGAGGATCTATAGATTAATGAGATTTGACTGTCTCGATCTTGCACCAATAAATTCAACGAAAAATGTCGGAAGAACTGTTTACCGTTTATGAAGGCCGGACCTTCAGCCGATCCATCTTATTCTTGACGATCTACGCCTACGTTTCTCTGGGCCTATTACTGCTCGTGGCACAGCGGCTTGCCCGGTCAGAAAGATTCGCCAAGATCCCCTCTCGTCGACCAATAAGGTCGGCCAGGTCTGACAGAAGGCCGGGCGAAAGCCCCCTTCTTCCGTCTAAACCTTCGTCTTCGCAACGAAGAGCCCCGTGTAAGTCGTCAACGCTGTCTTTGTCGCAGTGTGACTATCGACTGGTCTTTTGAGCTAACGTCCATGATGCCACACAGATGGCAAATAGTTCTAGAGTGAATTCAGATATTGGGCGAGCTGTTCTACTCGATCCTGGAGGCGCCAAACTGGAAAGTCACCAGCGCCACTACTTTACGGAATGTTATGAGGCGAGCATAATCGGAGACTCTCCATTACGACACACAGCAAATGCATTATGCCGACGGCTCTGGAAGCGTAGTCGATAGACAAGACGTTAATAACACCAAGCCGCCTCTCCATATGCACCATCGATCCAGAGAAGCGATGGAGAAGACTCGATCGCGAGAAGTAGCCGACCGACGGGAAGAAATCTTCGGTCTTCAAAATCCACAGCTATCATGCTGCAGCGCATCATGGCTAACAGACACGATCTTGTGAACGCTTCTCGACAGACATCTAGCGCAAGAAGCAGGCCGGCCGGTCAAAATTAAGACACGAGTGACGGCCATAGCCGGAACATGCCCTACAAAGTTCTTCGCCGCCAGCGAGACCAACATTGCGCTACTTCCTGCTCAAGGCTGAGAAGAAGGCGAGCAAACAGGCTGGGTGAAGGACGCGGGCTACGGGTCATGGGCGTTTGGTTCGCTCTGATGTCGTATTCGACGGTGGAAGTTCCATTGAGAGGAGACAAGAAAGCATCATTGACATCAATATTCCCATATGGGTGCTGATGTTGTCGTAAATCAGTATTTTGCTTTGCTTCAACCTCGGTCGGACCTCTGTGACCAAGATACAAAAGTCTGAGTTCTCCAACGCCAAGTCAGCTCAGCGCCTTTAAACTTTGAGGCGGTTGAGGCTCGCAAAAGTTTGAATGAGCAGCAAACGGGCAAGTATACCGACAACGCAACGCATTCAACACACAGTT